AAAAAAAAAAAAAAGAAAAGAAAAAAAAAGAAGAAAGAAAGAAAGAAAAGAAACAGAGGTGTGGAACTCTACAAAAGTCCTGGTGATGTGCTTGAGGTCACATGGCCAAGAAGTGTTGAGATCCAGATTCCGATTCTCCAGCCCGAAAGTCCATTTCTTTTGTATTATACCTCGTAGACACAAAGATTTCAAAGCTGGATGACTGGGAGACAGAGAGAGGGTAGGAGAGAGAGCAAGGAGGGCTGAGGCCAAGGAACAGAGGGGCATTAGGGGGAAGCAGATGGTGGGGTAGCTCCCTCAGATGAAGGAAGGATGTGCCCCTCCCAGAGAGGCACCTGTGGGAGCTGACATTGCCTCATGTGAGAGACACACACATGGCCATTGCAAGTCAGCCTCTAAATTTGAGGACAATTCTGCCCAGGAGTCCCAGGTGCCACTATAGCTCACTGTCCAAACAGCAGACTTCCTCATGACATCCTTTCTGTCTGGGGCCTCCTGTTTCATTCCTAAACTGCCCCATTCAGAAAGAAAAAGGACCTCTTGCTCTAAACTCTGCTTGGGAAAAAAGATTTTCAAGCGTCCAGGAAAAGAAGCAAATCCAAAGCCACAGAACATATTTCCACTGGACTTGCCATTGTTGACACTTGGTGATTTATCTGAGTGTGGTACCACGGACCCTTTGTGGTCATCAGAGCTGCCTTGTCAAGCGTGATCTGCTCTCTCAGCATCTTTCTACTATTTTGAAAAAATAAATAAATAAGATAAATATCACATTCTGTACTGATGTCCACAACAACATAGAACAAAAGCTAACACAAAACACTTTCCGTTGGTTTTTTGTTACCACTTTTTAATTTAGACCACTGGTTCCCAATACTACTGGGAGTCTTCTTAAAATACAGATTCTTGGAGCTGGTCCCTGCTGGTTCTGATTCTGTAGATATAAAAGAGAGACTGTTTTCTTCTAGAAAGTTGGCTGTGTTTATGTTTAAGGAACCTTTGCTCCTTTGTTCTAGGACAGGCTACAGGCTTGAGTGAAGATAGAACTTTCCTTGTGCCCTTTGCCAATGTCCACGTGGTCTCATGTGGTTGGAGCTATTTGTCAGATTGGTAATCATTTGCCTTCAGGCCTGGGCTAGCTCTGTTCCCCATGAGTGCTTCCTCAACTTCTCCATCAGCCTTCCGCTCCTAAGTTGGCCTTGACAGATTTAGAAGGTGCCTTGGAGACATTTCTGTGCCCAAAGAGCAGTTTAACTCAGCACAGGGATCCAGGGAAGAAGGCCAATGGGCAGGAGTGTGGCCTGGCCTTCTGAAAGGAGCATGGAACCGAGAAGCTGACCAGGGAGAGATTTGGGGGAAGAAGTTTCTAAGTTTGTCTGAGAAGTGCAGACAGAATCTGATTAGAAACCTTCTCTGGTTTTGAGGCCTAAAAAATCACAGTCTGGAAAAAAATAGTAAGAGAGGTTGCAAACTCGATTCCCATTTCCGTATTTTAATTCTTCTTGCTAAAAGTTTAGCTTCCAGATTGTGTAAGTCTTCTTAGATCCTTGTACCTCAGCGTGATTGAGTATATTTTCCTGAAATTGAGAAAGAAAGAGAGAACAGTGTTTGGGAGAGAAAAGCAGAAGGCCTGGTGGTTGGCAGCCAGGAAGCCACTGGTTCTTCAGCAACTGCCTGGACATGGGGAGGACACAGGGCACAGAGGCAGATGCACACACAGCAGGCTGATGACACAGGGACCTGGCTGACATGTTCTTTGGGAAATGTTCTATGTAAAAGCCTGGAGCAGAATGGATATAGGTCTGTCTCCAATTCCTTAGTGCATTTATCTTTTTGGCACCCTTGGTAATATCATTTTTAAAACTTGGAGAAACTTCACTAGTCGGTTGTATGTTTATATGGTTTATACAGGAAATAACATCATCACTGACCCACTAGCAAAATATACATAACCCACCATTTCCCATTTTCACAGTTTCTAACAGTGGCATTAAGGACATCCACGTAGTTGTGCCTCCATCACCACCAGCGCCTGGTAACCACTGTTCTACTTTCATCTCGAATGACTCTAGAATCTCATAATATGGATCCTCCAAGATGCAAATCCTCTAATTTACACCTTGGGTAAATTCTTGGATAAAATCAATTGCTTCCTCTGGTGTGTTTTAGCTGTTTGTGTCCACCAGAGCCCTTCACCGGAGGGCCATCTTCTCCCTCACTCTTCTCATCCAGAAAGCAAGTAGAAAACACTGGCTTCTCCCAGAAGGGTCCGGGAATCCAGGAAATCGCAAATGAGTTCCTGAAAGGTGGCCCTTAGTCACTGAGCCAATTGTGAGCTGTTACCCCTAGATGTTCCTTCAATTTCACCTCCACCCCTAGAGAATCCCAAGACCAGCAAACAACAGAAATGATGAAATAACCTTGGTGATTTCTACGCACTAAACCTTCTCTTTGTAAGAGGTCTTTCTTGCTTCTTGAGCTTTGCAGAAATGCCCCTTCTGCTCTTGCCTTTCTCCTTGGTCCTGTGGTTCCCCACCTTTACCTGGTGTGTGCTGAAGGGAAGGCCCCAGGGCTGGTCATTTGTAGGAGAGTTAGGTCAGGTTCACCTAATTCGGAGTTGAGTGTTTGGGTGCATGGCTGGTGGGCCTGTTAATCTGATTAGCCACAAGACTTCTCTGGGCAGCTCTGGTTGCTTGGCATAATGGATGCTCATGCCCGGTCAGATTGAGAAATCACAGTAAACAGCAAGGCACATCGGGCCAGCTCTGCAGTACATGGACTCTCTCACCTACCCTCTAGCTCTTAGGAAGGCAGGCTCAAGGTAGCTAATATATAACTTGATTATAATTTTTATTTAGCTACATGAACTTAATAGGCAGCTTAATTGCAGTTGCAGAAGTGAACCATGTAATCACAAATTGGGCCCTTTACATCTGTCACCCTCCACCAAGAGAAATGCTTCCAGTGGAGGTCTTTATTTTTCCTTGGGTTAATACTGAATCAAAGAGGTTTTTAAAGCGGGAGAGGTGAGGCAAGCGAGGGAACAGGTGCTTCTTTTTCTTTCTTTTTTTAAAAATGCAGAAACCTTAAGCTCCAGTCTTGTCTGGGCCAACCAGTAATTCTTCTGTTCCCTTCTGGATTCCTCTGTTAGCTTGTCAATGGGCATTTAAAGCCCAGCTACTATTGATCGACCACCTTGTTTAATTACCCGACAGAGTATATTCCCAACCAATCCATTTTGCTCCTGAAATGCCAACATGCTGCTTCAGAGGGAGGAGGGGATCAATTAATCCTTGTTTGCTTTTTAATTCCTGTTCCGAACATAGTACATTCACACGCAGGTTAATTTTTAAATCCACTCTCCTCTTACTTCATTGCTTTCTTTAATTCACCCTGGAAACTGCAGTGACCCTAAAACTCTATCAAGCTCTTCTTACTGCTTATGCAGCCTCATTAAATAGCTTAGCAAATACCTGACTTGGTCAGTTTCCAGACTTCTGCTGGTAACCATCGTCCAAAGTCCCTTCATTTTTTTGTTCCTGTCTGAAGTCCCTTAGGGCAGAGGTGTTCAGGAACTGCTGACATCTCTCCAGCTTACCCTGGAGCTGACAGGAAAAGAGGGGCCCCTTTCTGTGTGCTGTAGGAGGTCTGTTTCTGGGATCTCTGTCTCATCAGGTTTAGTAAATCTTGAGCCCATATCCCCTTGGATTTTAAGGACTTTCTGAAGCAAGAATGTATATTCCATATCAGGAGCCTCTGGGCAAACAGAAGAGCTAAAGGATCAGGGCATCCTGTTTTTCTATGGTCTAAAGCAGTGTTTTTCGACTTTTTAATCTCCTGGCACACTTGAACCTACAGTGGAACTGCTGTGGCACACTTAAATTATGTTGATCCAAAAAAAATGTGCAATCCTCACTGTGCTTTGAACTTCTTTTAAAAATAATTTCATTGATGATCTTTACAAATTTCTGTGGCACACCTAAGATCCTCTCACAGCACACCATTGTGCCACAGCACTCCCAGTTAACAATCACTGGTTGATAATGACCTTTCTAGGTATATAAATAAGATATCACCTTGTTTTTTAATGCTGGTTTTTGTTTTTTTTTTTACTTAAATTTAGGCTCAAAATGTTGAAATAGTCTGGCAGTCTGGCAGTCAGCAGAGGGAGAGTCCATTCTGAGAGGTGAGTCTCTTCTGTTCTTGTTACTCCATCCTTAACCCTCTTACCCAGCTAGGGGTCCAAGGAGTCCATTTAGACACTTTGAGTCCGAGCACCTCATTTGCTTGGGGATAACCTTGCGGTCGAAGATCAGTAATAAAAGCTTTAAGGAGCTCTACAGGGAATCTCACAGCAACTGAGCGATCTGCCTATATTTGGCTAATGTGTGTTTTCTTTCACCTGATAGAGTGCAAAATGCCTTCAAAGCCAAGGCAGGGTCCCTGAGGGATGAGCACATGCCATTTCTTCCCAGGATATTAATGTCGTGGGACTTGGCTGCTTCAGCCTTTAAGCGGTGTGACTCCAGCTAGGAAGCAGGCATTTGACCTTTGGGATCTTTGATCTTGTATTTTTCTGCTGGTATATTTAATATGATAGCTAAAAATAAGTGGACTAATGGAGACACTCTTTTGTAAGGCCACTCACAAATTCAGAAAACTAGGGACAACTTCTAGTATCTGAGGGAGAGGCTGAGCAGAGATGGCAAACAAGGCTTCCCTTTGTTCTTCCTGATCTGGGACAACTGTCCCCAGGTCCTGTGAGCCATGCCTAATGCAAATCTGACCCTATTCAAATTGCTGCGGAAGGTGCTGATAGCACATTAGCAATGTGGAAAAAGTTGTGTTATGTATGCAAACACATATAAGCCGGGGCAGAGACACAGCCAGGAAGCCCCAGAGGACAGTCTTTTCCCTTTCAGGTTTATAGGGATCCCTCTGGGTTTCTTACTGACCAACTGGTGTCATTTCCACGGTGCTCGTATCTTTACACTCACATCCTTCCCATCTTGTCCCAAAGGCACAAGGATATAACAAGAGGGGAGGGGCATTGAGAAACTGAAGGCAATTGATTTAGAGGAAAAACAAGAAAAGTGAAGCCCTAGGAAAGGGGCCAGAGCCCTCCTTCCATTTTGTGTGAAAACATTTTGGTGGTGTCAACAGTGAAATCCTCTTTTAAATAGTATTATACGCATAAATGTTTGTATTACAGGTGCTGCACCTTTAAAATCCAGGCTGATAACCTAGATTTCGACTTATGCAAAATCTGGGTTGTACAAAACCACGTGGAAGGGAACAATTGCATAAGCCGGGATGCAACGATGGTCAATTACTTGGTGGTTGACTGGGGTTGAATCGAGTGTGTCAGGGACCCGACCTTAAATTAGAAAGGCAAGGAACCTGCCCTCCCTCAAACAAATACAAACAGTCACACACATTTATTTGTTTGTTTATTTAATATCCTTCGTCCAAGATTGAATTTTGCTGAAAAGGGGGTCCAAGAAAGGCTGGTCTGCCAGTGATTTGCTTGGGGGTGTATGTGATCCCTGGACACAGGAGTGGGGGCCAGAGTGGGGAAAGCTCGGTAACTGCTGCAACCATCAGATGCTCAGAGCTGCTGGAACTTTTCGAGAAGCCTCCTAAGATGCTCTTAGAACTGGCCGCCCAAGGGGCCAAACCGGGAAGCATTTACCTAAGAGCTCGCACCACCGGTGGGAAGCAGCCCCCAGGCACCCCTGCTTTGGGGGGCTCCCGTGAGTGTAGAGCAGCTCCCCTACAGACACACTCGGGCTGGAAGCAGATAACTGTGGGAAACTGCCAAACCAGAGTGGACCTGGTCACCATAGGATGGCGAGAGCAGGGGTGAGGCCCAGGGAGATCTGAAGTGATGCCGTGCATGGTGTGGCAGGCACACGTCAGGAGTCAGAGTGCTAGGAGGTAGAAGGCTTAAGCAGGGACTGGGAAACTGAAGCAGAGGAGGGGGAGGCCTCCTTTAGGCCCACCTGTGTAGCCATTGGTCACAGCTGTTGCTAACAGGGCAAGGCCAGGGGAGGGATTTTCCCCCTGGTGATTGGGCAGAAAAAGAGCAACCAGACAAATAAAGGGCCAATCAACACAGGCCAGTCTGGTAAGGTTTAAAGAAACCAATCAATGTAAGCCAGCTAGGTTTGAAGGACCCAATCAGTGTTTTCCAGCAGGTTTGGGTGGACAGATAAGGCATAAAATCCAAACCCAGCCGAGCTGCAATGGCAAGTCTTTGGGGGACCCCTTCCATTGTATTGGAAGCTTTTTGAGCCTCTAGTAAACTATTGCTCTTATCACTTCTGCTTGCCTGTGGTCTGTGAAGTCACTCGTCAGTTCCCAAGACTAAGAACCCAGCCAGGAGGAGAATAATCTGGTATGAAGAGTGGCTTTAGGGTGGAGTGAAGTGGCATCACCGCGAGCAGGAGGCCACACCTAAACCCAAACCTAGCCCATGGCTTGACAAATATAAAAACATTAAAAGAGGTGGAAGATTTATTGATGGCTGGCATCAAACTGTAGGAAAAATATATTGAAAATTGGGACTCTCCTGGAAATTTGGGAAGGCTCATCCTCAGAACAAAAAATGATACTCCATCAGTTTTAATTTAATCAATCCACTAGCTCTTGCGGTTGAGTAAGGGAGCAGTCCCAGAGTCAGAAGGAACTAGGGCATCAGCATGTCTTAGTCAAGTGAGAACTGTGGCCTGTGTTTCTTGTCACCCGAGACACCCGATTTGGAAACGTTTTTCTGATTACTGAATGTGAATGAAATGATGCTTTAGAATTGTGGGATCTTCCTGCTGGAATGGTTCTGAGGCATTTTATACCTTCTCTTTATTTTTAATTCTATAGATTTAGGGGGTACAAGTATATTTTTGTTACATAGATATATTTCCTATGAGACTCTGCTAAATGACTCCTAGTTTTAATCAATGAATTCAGTAAAGTTTCAGGATACAAAATCAACATATAAAAATCAGTAGCATTTCTATACATCAAAAACGATCAAACTGAGAACCAAATCAAGGAGTCAGGCCCTTGCCTCCCTTTCTTACAAATGAGGAAAATCAGAAACCCAAGAAGGAAGGTGACGTGTCCAAGTTCCCACTGCTGGTCAGTAAAAGGCAGGAACGAGGACCCATGTCCTCAGTCAGCAACTGTGTATAGCAGTAAGAAAGAGAACTGGCAAACAGCATCTTTAACGATTTGGGGGATTGTTTTCCTCTCATGACAAGAGGCCCAGAGAGGCTAGTCCCTAGAAAAAGTCAGAGGCAATGGTATGACATCCAGAGGTTAAATTGGGAACAATTTAAAACAATTTTCATATGAGCTGTTTTGTTGCTATTGAGACTACGTTTTGGGGCTCACTATGAAATACAGAAGCTGGGGTGTTCATTGTATCAGGAGAGAAACAAACAGATGTTCCATGCACGTGTTCCTGCTTAACATGCCACCAGCTGCGGAAAGAAAGTAACATGGCAGAGAAATAACTGGAAGAACTAAAATGCTAGAAAATCAGGAGATAGAGGCCAAGGCAGAGAGCAGCTTCTTCTGAGGCCAAATTATGGGCCCTTATGTGGTTTATTTCCCAGAGTCTATCTGCTGTCCCACAGACATCAATACAGAATGTCGCACTGGTTTACATTTCCAGGGATTCCAAATTAGCAAATTCTTATTTGTCAACATGTAACACTTTTCTCAAGCCCCAAACTGGGGAAAGCATTCCCCAAACATACATCTCATAAGAGGCTCATCTTGAGAGTATATCAAACATATAGCTCAATAAGAAGACCAATAATTTGAGTAAGAAATGGGAAGCTCTAAATAGAACCTTTACCCCAGAAGATGTACAGATGACAAATAAGTAAGTGAAAAGATGCTTAGCATCATTAGTCATTAAGGAAATGCAAATCGAAATTACAATGAGATTCCACTGTGCACCCACTGGGAAAGCCTAAATTAAAATGATTGACAGTGCCAGGTGTTGGTCAGGCTGTGGAGCTACTGAAACCCTTGTGTAGGGCTGGGGTAGCCACTTTGGAAAAGTTGGAAGCTTCTTATACAGTTAAACATATATTAAATATATTTTCTATAAGACACAGAAGTTCTACTTATGGTTTTTCATAATACGCACAAACTGGAAACAACAACCCAAACGTCCATCAACAGAGGAACTGTGGTAAATCCATGCAATGAAATGAAACCTATGAAATACGGAAGCTGGGGTGTTTGTTGTATCAGGAGAGAAACAAACAGATGTTCCATGTACATGTTCCTGCTTAAAATGCGAACAGCTCCAGAAACAAATAATACCAATAATGCCAACAGTACAAAGAAATGAACTATTGATACATACAAGAACAGGATGAATCTCAAAAGCATTATGCTAAGTGACAGGCAGGGGACAGTGGCTCATGCTTGTAATCCTAGCACACTGGGAGGTCTAGGCAGGAAGATCGCATGAGACCAGGAGTTTGAGACTAGTCTGAGCAAACTTCTAAGATGTTGTCTCTACAAAAAGTTTAGAATTTAGCTGGTCTGGTATGGTGGCTCACACCTGTAATCCTAGGACTTTGGGGGGCTGAAGTGGGAGAATGGCTAGAGGCTGCGAGTTCTAGAGCAGCCTGGTAAATGTAATGAAACAATGTCTCTTCAAAAGAAATTAAAAATAGTGTGGGGTATGTGCTTATAGTCCCAGCTACATGGGAGGCTGAGGCAGGAAAATCACTTGAGCCTAAGAGTTTGAGGTTGCAACGAGCTATGATGACACCACTGTGCTCTAGTCTGGACAACAGAGTGAGAGACCCTGTTTTTAAAACAAACAGACAAACAAAAAAAGCAGAGTGAAATAATCAAGACACAAAAGCATAAATGCTACATGATCCAATTTATATTGTTGGGGATGAATACTAATTTTTTCTTTAACCTTCATAAGATCTTAGTTGAAACATATCCCTGTAACTAAAGATAGATTAACAAGAACAACATAAACAAGTTTAACATGTGGATTTCATATACTCCTGGGAAATACTCAGAGAGTGAGTAATTTTCAAATATTTGGGTTTAAATCCCCCCCTTTTTCTTTGAGACAGAGTCTCACTTTATTGCCCCCAGTGGAGTGTTGCCGTCATAGTTCATGGCAACCTCAGACTCTTGGGCTCAAGTGATTCTCTTGCCTCAGCCTCCTGAGTAGCTGGAACTATGGACACTTGACATAACGCCCAGCTATTTTTAGAGATGGGGTCTTACTCTCAGGTGATCCGCCCACCTCAGCCTCCTAGAGTGCTGGGATTACAGGTGTGAGCCACCACACCTGGCCTAAAATTCCCATTTTTATAACATCATCCACTCAGAACCATAATGTTTTTAGAGAAGTGACAAGACAGAAGGACTTTGAGTACTTACAGGTGACAACTTGTGGGAGGGCAAATAGCTGTCAGATAAAGGTCAGTTAGAAGGGCTTGGTAAAGTGGTGCCATCCCAGCCCATGAGGGTATAAAGTTGGCTTCTGAACTCTTCTTTTTCTTAACTTTTGTTCTTCTTGGTAGAAGACGAGATAGAATACTTTTTGTCTTTATAAGTCTACGTCCTGCTTTTAAACAAACAGAGAAAGGGCAGAGAGCTTTACTGTATCTGCTGCTGCTTAACTGCCTTCAGCTCAACAATTCTTCATGTTTGGGGGTGTCATATTCTGATTTCCCACAATGTCAAGTTCTAGAAAAGGAAAAACCATGATTCTAAAAAGCAGATCCATGGTTGCCACAAGCTGCAAGTAGGGAAAGGAGGTTGACTGCAGGGACACTGGGGAGCTTTCTGGGGTGATAGAAATGTCCTGTATCTTCACTGGGTGATGGTGGGCAATTGGATATACTTGTTGAAGCTCATCAGTGGCTTAAACTGGCGAATTTTAATGTATGTAAGTTGAACTTCAATAAAGCTGATTAAAAAGACTATGCCTTTTTGAGCATTGTCAAAAATTTGAAGCCTCTGTTTTTGGCTAGAACATCAAGGGGGAATTATTCGTCAACTCACGGGTGTGGTGTGGCAACCCCCAAGCTTGCAGAGGGTGAACATTACCTGCTCCCAATGCAAGAGCCATACCCTGAGGCTTGGCGCTTGGGCATCATCATACTTTGAAGCTCAGGGTCAAGGAGAAAAAAAAGGGGCATTGTGGGACATTCTTGGTCACAGATGTTAAAAGATGATTTTCAGAAAGGGTAAATTTATGACTCCCATAGGATATAAAAATGAATTCATGTTAAAGAGTTGACTTATGATGTAACAAGAATACATCTTGTTATTAGATGAGAGAATAAGATAATGAGTAAAATTTAGAAGAGCAAAGGAATAGTGAAATGAATGTGCAAATGGCGGCAAGATTTGTTTTTCCACGGGGGTCGGGGGAGGTGGGTTCCCCCCTTGACAGCATTCATTTGTGCATTGCTATTAGTTAT